TCTGTCCCCTCTTCAGGAGTGGTCCCTGAGCCCTGGGTGGGTGCACCTCAATATAGGAGTCCTGTCCAAGGACCCACACTCTGCCGACTCTTACTCTCTGTGTTTTGGCCATTTGTGGCCTTTTGTGTTCCTGACCCTCTGCTGCATGAGGGAGCTTCATTGATGAGAATCGAAAGATGTATTAGTGTTCTCTTCATTCCTTGTTCTATGTTTCATGAGTCTTAGGTGTAGAGGTTGCATCCTGGATGTGCCACTTAGGCTTGGGCAATTCACAGAAAATCCCTGTGTGTGATCAGTGAAACTCTGTAATAATCTCTCTCTGTTGGAAACGAAGCTACTTTGGTGGGTGGTGACTGGGATAGTTGTCTGTAAATTTAAGGATCCATATTTTGCACATACTAAGAAATTACATTTGTCTAGGATATGAGAGCCTTGGGGTTTTCTCTAAGATCTGTGACCTCTACAGCTATGTGCATTTGGCTAGGTTTACAGTACCAGACATGAGTTTTCTCCCGTTGAGTGGGCATTAAGTCCAATAGGCAGCTGTTGATTACCCCCAAAATAAAAGTACCACTACTGCACCAATGTCATTTGCTGTGCTGGTCATTGATGTGGTTTTTAGGCCTTCAAGTTAGGGTTGGACCATCGATTGATGTTCTCCCTTACCAGCTTGCATAGTGCTCCCAAAGCTATGAGAGCTAGCCTTCAGGAGAGGCGGCTTCCAGTTCAGTTCCAGCTCCACTGCTACAAATCCTGTGTCCAAAATATGTACCCTGGAACTCGCTATGTAGTCCAGGATAGTTTTGAACTCACAGAGATCCACCTGCCTCTGCCTCCATAGTGCTAGGATTAAAGGTGTGTGCCACCATGCCCGGCCTTCTTAGTACTATTTCATCTACTATTTTATTACCATTTTGTTAAGTGGTAAAAAGTGCCTTGCTTAGAAAGATTATCTTATTTTCTTATGAAACATATCCTTTAAAGTTCCTTTAGTAACTCTAAAGTTGTCTTTGTTTAGCCTTGTTCTTGTAGTTTTTCTTACTATATAGGACAACATTTATTTCCACTTAGGTATTTGAGGACATTATTTCACTTTCTACAGTTTCTTTTGTTACCAGTAAGTATTTTTAAAACTACTGTTGTGGAGTACTTATGTGATAGTCATTGCACACCAAACACATAATTGCCATTTCTAATAACCCATGTAATAAACTTAGTCTACCGTTATTGTTCTCACCTTTCCTGATGGGAAAACACAGGCTCAGAAACATGGAAGATACACAGTATGTGAGCACAGCAGGATTTCAACCCAGAGCTCTGACTCCAGAGCTGATGCCCCTGAACTACTATTACAGTCAAGCAAACTTTAAAAGAGCAAAGGGTGACCAGCCACAGTCAATATTAAATTCATTAGAGGACTGTAGTAATAAGGTTAGGACACATTTTTTTCTGGATACACAGATTGGCAGACTAATCGTTACTACTTGTTTGTCATTGTTAAACCGTATTACCATGATAAACCTCTGTGCCTGTGTCCAAATCTGTAAGATGAGGATAATGATGATACTGCATGGTGTGGTTGTGAAGAATAAGTGAATGTGTGTCTTACACCTTATAAAATGACAAAATTAGCAGTATAGTGAAATAGTAAAACAGAAACAGACTGCTGTATTGCAGAGTACAGTGTATGATGCAGGTGGTGAAGGAAAAGATGGACTGGGTAAAGTCCATCTAGCTGGGTAAATCATATAGAAAATGGAGATTTTCATCATTAAAAATGTATGACCTTAACAGTAGATTCTGAAGTTAACCATTTCCTAAATCCACGATGTTTAGAATCTTTGGATTGCAAATGAAATATATGTGGCAAAGACTGTTAAACACATTCTACCAAAGATGGAATCTGTAAGTAAAAAGATAAATCAATCTGACTATATAATTTAAAATTTGTTTGGAAAAATCAAATAGGAACATTATTCTAGTTTCATTTCTGTTGCCCTGACAAAACACTGACCAAAAGCAACTTAAGGGACTAATGGCTTTAGGTTATACTTGTAGGTCACAGTCCATTATTGAGGGAAGGTCAAGGCAGGATTCAAGGCTGAAGCTTGCAGACAGGCCTGCTTGCTATTCCACACAGCATTACCTCTGACCGAGAAACTCATTTCAGAGCCAAGGAGGCTCAACAAGAGCCATGGAGGATGCTGGTTGCGGGTCTGCAGACTAGCTTGTGCTCAGCTAGCTTTCTTTCATAGTTTAAAACCACCTGCCTAAGGATGCTGCTGCCTACAGTGGGGTAGGCTCTCCTACGTCAGTTACCAAACAAGACAGTCTCCCATAGATGTGCCCACAGGCCAGTCTGATTGAGGCAGTTCTTCAGTTGAGACTCTCCTTTCAAATGATACTATAGGCTGTGTCAGGTTGACAGTTAAAGCTAATCAGGACAAACATCATCTGAAAGATTAATGACAAATTATAGTGGATTAAGAAAGCCATTTGAAGTGCATATAATAGAAGGATCTATTCTTAAAATATAAACATTTCTTTTTAAATTAATAATTGAAAGTACTACAACAATAAAAAATGAACCAAAGAACATGTAATCTCCAAGAAAGAACTACAAATGACAGGTCTGGATTAAGGGCACTGTCTGCTCTTACAGAACCCTGGTTCGGTTCCTAGCATCCACATAGCTACTAACAACTGTCCTTAACTTCAGTTCTAGGGGATCCAACTCCCTCTTCTGACCTCTGCAGTCATTGCACAACGTGGGTGCATTTATGTACATGCAGGCAATATACTCACACACATAAAATTAAAATAATAAGTAAAATTTTAAAGAAGAATTACAAATGACTGAGACATAGAAAAATATAGTGTTGCAGAAAACAATGCTAAGTTTCGCTAGTAATTGAAAACAAGAAAGAGACTTGAGTCTACTAGCACAGCAGCCACTGAAGAGCAGTAGCCACAACTCTTTGCTGATCTTTGACCAAGATCTCAACAGGGCCACAGGTGACCAAGTCCCTGGGCAGGTAAGGTACAGCTACTGTGGTGGACACCTTACCATGCACCCCAAGTTTGTGTGGGATGTTATTTGAGAGGTGTATGGCATGCTACGAAGCTCCTCAGGAACTCCAAAGACAGATAGGCCCTTGAGTTCATCAGAACAAGGGTGAGGACATACATCCTCCCAGGAAAAATTATGAGGAGCCCAGCAGTATCCTTGCTTCCTTGAGGAAAGTCACTGTCTAGAAGGACTAGTCCCTTCCCCTCTCTGTGCATAACCTATACAGAGGAAGGAAGGGAGGGAAGGAGGAAAGAAGGAAAGATTGATTCAATCAAACCCATGAATTTTATGGAGTTTTTAAAAGGTAAATTGTCAAGGACAATTACACGATATTAGTATGTAAGTAAACATAATGGATGAAATGTCGGAATGGACCCACAAAGATTTTTGTTAGCTGAGGGCAGGGCAGAGCACAAGAGCTCTGACAGGCTTAATCTGCATTGCGATATTGGAGGGAGGGTTGAAACTGTTGTCATTGTTGAGAAGAAGTAAGAAATGAGGACAGAGTTTAGTACTCTGTATTGAGATCTTTGTCATTGTGAGGAAGAAAGAAGAACCTTTAGCTCTTTTGTTATCAAGTGAGGTGGTTTTAAAATTGTAGTCCTGGAAATTCTTAGAGACAGGAATGGACTACTAGAAGAGAAATTGAAGTTATTATTATAGAGACATAAATTTGATGTAGTATGGACCACAGATAATAGAAGTAAAGAAGTAAGACTATTTCTCTCTAATGTAGACCTCAGTGAGGTAGTGACTGGTAAAGGATTGAGTGCTTAATAGACAGGGAGAAAAATAGGTTTGTAAAAGCTACCTCATCTGAATGTTTGTGTCCCTCCAAAATTCATATGCTGAAACTAAAGCCCCCATGTGAAATTAGGAAGAGGAGTCTTTTAGAGCCACCATAAATGGGATTAGTGCCCATGTGAAAGAAGCTAAATGGAGGGAATGTGCTTGTTGCCTCTGCCATGCAGCGCACAGTAAAGAGATGCTATCGATTAGGGGATGGTCCTTCCCAGACAGTGTCTACTGGCACTTTGATCTTGGACTTCGAGCCTCCAGAACTGTGAGCTGTAAATGTTAATTTATTTGTGATGACCTGGTCCAAGGAACTGTGCTCTAGCAGCTCAGTTGTGCTAAGACCAAGGCTTTTGGGATCCTGTTGATATCCACCCAAACATGAAAAAGAATACCCAGAACTTCTGCAGTCCTGGCTAAGCCTTTAGAGCTGAGTTTTTCTGCTATCTTGGTAAAGTGAGGTAGATATTCAAAGTCAGGGAGTAAAAAGATTATAGAGTCAAGAGAGGTAGTCAGTGCACTGCTGAAGTGACTGCCTTAATTGATGAGCTAGAACAACTGAGTTAGGAAGAATGGAAGGATCCGAACAAGGACCTTAACGTTATCATTCCCTGCTCTATTATGTGTACTCTGCACTATAATTAAGGGTTCTGACATTTTTACATCAGGTTTTTCTTTTATGTCCATCTTTCATCTATTTTGCTTCTGCTTGTAAAACCCTACATCTCAACTTCAGAAATAATAATCAATTTTCACTTAGTTCATTCATTAATTGGCTTGTGCCCCTAGCTAAAAGTGCTGGTTTTTGAACAACCATAATTCCTTGTTTATACATACCTTTTTATAACTTTTCATTTAATTCAAAGGAGTTTTGTTTCTACTGACTTTCAAATTCCTCGAGGATACAGTTCATGTATTTTTACCAAGTTTTGCTCTTCATATTATTTCACGGTGCCAACACTTTCGATGGTAAGCATATGGTAAATATTTGCTGATACTTGGTTACACATTTAGGCTAAGCATCTAACTAGAACCTTTAAAAGAAATTGGTTTGCCTTTTCTATGGGCTATTTTTGAAAATTTATTTTAAAATTTTATTCCATTAATTTCTAAAATTCATGTTTTTGCCCCATAGATATGGCATGACTTGCCTTATTCAGTTTGAAGATTTTGCCAATCTGAATGCATTTCGTCTTCTGAACAAGTATCGAAACAAATATTGCACATTTAATGATGATATCCAAGGTAATCAAATTTCAACTGAATATGGATCAAGAATAACATCTAATATTCTCTAGTCAGAAAAGAGAGAAAAGCGTTTAACTGAATGAATGAAGGCAAGCTGGGGCATGGGGATGAAGATGTGTAGAAATGTCATGTTACAAAGTGATGTATCACAGGAGCCAGGCATGCTGCTCTAGGTGTTTGAAGACCACCCCCAGCCACACCAGAGGAGGAACTTCGAATTACCGCCAGGGGAGGAGCAAGATTAAAATCTGGATTTTGCACCCTAGGTGACTATAGAAGAAATACTAGGGGTCCTCTGAAATACTTTGAGGTTGTAGGTGATTAAAAAGTCATCATGGGGCTGGGCATTGTGGCATATGCCTTTAAAACCAGCACTCAGGAGGCAGAGACTGGGATCTCTGTTGGTTCGAGGCCAGCCTGGTCTACACAGTGCGTTCCAGGTCAGCTGGGACTATAGGGAAACCCTGTCTCAAAAAGACAAAAAAAAAGTTATGGTAATCCAAAAAGTTCAGTTTAAGGGTAAAGCATTATTGGGGGGGGGAGAAGAGCTGAGCTAGAGAGACACACTTGGAGGCCTCACAGGTTATATTCAATACGCTTGAGCAAATCAGCATTTCTACATTTCCACAACTTTGCAAAGTCAGTAATTTTTGAAAATAATTTTATATCATTAAAATACTGCAAGATCTAGAAAGCTGTTATGACTTGTGAGAAAATTGGTGCTTTACATATCATCTGCAGTGAACAAATTTCTCCTATGAGATTCAGTTGTGTTAGTAATAAAACAACAAATTAAAGCTGAGATAAATGGCACCATTTTCATTATTTGAAATTGTAGAATTCTGTATGTATACATACATAAAAAGTTTATATGCAAAAATCAAAGTAAATGAAAATAACATCTAAAATTCACAAGTTTTTATTCAAATTCAATAAATATTAAGTACATGTTAGATGATTTTATACATAATTTCTTATTTGCTTTTCTATTTGACAAAGTACCTTAGAATATACTGTATTATACGTGAACTAGAGAATGAGCTTCCAGAAATCTGATAAAATCTGAAGTAATTATGGCTAAATTAAGGAAATGTGTGAGAATAGATGAGTCATTAAGAATAATAATGTTATATACTTCCCAGACACAATTTCTAAGCCTCACTCAAATAACTGCTGTCTTTCATATTTTTTATGCATTTGTTTTTATGTGTATGAGTATTATGCCTGCCTGCATGTAAGTGCACTCATGTCATGCAATGCCTGCAGAGGACAGAAGAGGGCACTAGATAGCCTGGAACAGAAGTTACAGATGGCTGTTAGTCACCATATGGGTGCTGGGATTCAAACCTGTGTATTCTGCAAGAGCCAGTGTTTTTAACCACTGAGGCATCTCTCCATGTCTTCCTCAAACACTTCCTGACCTTATTTTTTTGAGACAGGGTCTCACTCTCAGGTGGGCTTTGAACTCACAGTGATCCTCCTGCCTTGGTTCCCAGAGTGCTGGGCTTACATGAACTATCACAGTGTCTATGAACATCTGCCATGTTCTAACTCGTACTTCAGTGCATGTTCTTGACTGTAGGGTCTTTATCTAAGCCTCCTGTGTTTTTCTATTTCTTATTTTCAATCCCTCATTGTCCTCCCCTCTCCTCTTCAACACCCAAGCCTTACTGTGTGTGTCTTAGGGTTACATTTCATTATGGTTAGGTAAAAGGATAAACACAAGTAGAGGTCCTAAAGAAGATCTTACTGAGTTCTAGTAACTTGAAGTAAGATTGTAGATCACTTCCACCTCATTAATACTGTGAATGGTTTTCAGTGTTTATCTTACTTGACTTCTTGGTAGTACTTAGCCCTGTTGATCCAGGCTTTCTTGAAATACTCTTTTCTGCTGTCACTGAATTCTGCTGATTTATTCCTACTTCTTTGGCTGTCCAACCCCCACCCCACCCCCCACTTCTGTAAGTTCATCCTTTCCCCTCTAGCTATCAGGCCCTTTTCTCTTTACTCTGGCCTATCTTCTTAGCTATATATTCCAAATCACACCTTAGTCAGCCTTATTTCTGAAGATAAAACTTTTGTGAATTCCAGGCTATATATATCCATATGTTTATTAACATCTCCTCTTGAATATCTCAAAGTTATCTCATTCTGAAACTATCCCAAATCAAGCTCATTTCCACTCCACACCCGACCTCATCCTAATTTCTCCTTTGTGAATTAGTTCTCTTTTCTTGAACCACTAAGTGCTGCCTATAATTAAATTCTTCAGATATCATGTCATAAAAATCTGTCATCCATTAATTTACCTGTCACTGATATTTTCTGAGAAGCCTATCCCTAATTCACTCTTGCTTCCTCATCTTGTAGGTTTCCTAGATAGCAGCTTTACAGATACAGATTTATTGGAAGTGAGTATTTGGAAGATTTCAAAAAAAAGAATAAGCCAGAATTTCCAGGGGTTAAGAACTGTAAATGTCAGCTATAGAAAAAAGCCTGGTTTTAAAGTGTTGTAACGCTGACTGGAGGATTAAGTGCTTTTAATGTAGACGTGTACTGTGCTTGGCCATGCAACTAACGTCTGTAAGTCACTCAGCATTTGGAGGTAGTTCTATAGCAGCCTCCATTTAGTACACTGCTGAATAAGCCTACTCCTTCTAAGTGCTGACGATGCAGTCCAGTGGTGAGCACTCACCTAGCATGCACAGGGTTCATTCCCAGTACTTCAGAAACAACAGAACAGCAAGTCAATTCCTTCCTTCTCTAGAATATTTTAGAAATTTGCTTTTGTGGGTCTAACAGAACTATGCATAAGTAAGTTAAGACCAGTATTACATGATTTAGAACCATTATTCAGAATTAATGGAAATCAGAGTTCAGTTTTAAAAGGCTAAATCTAAATCATCAAACAAAACAGTTAAAAATTAGGGTGAGAATTTCTGTTAAGTAAGGCCAGTAATTTAAAGGTTAGGGTGTGGGACACATTATAATTAAAGTCTAGAGCACCAGAAATCAAGGCAGAAGTCAAGTCAGGGTCCAGAGCAGGGGTTGGAGGAGCACTGAAGACCCATAGCAGACTATTGTTCAGTCGATCCCCAAGAAGGAGGCAGTAAAATCACTGAATTCTCACCCTAGCTCATCTGTGCACATAATGCTCGCTTTTTTCCTCATAGGAAATTCAAGACAATACCACCTTAAAAAAGAAAAACACAGGTTTGAGAAAAATGTGCTTTAATTCTTCACTAAAGAAAACGTTTCACAAGTCATTGGGATTTTGACTAGAAATAGCCAAACCATCTTGAACATCTCTTCATATCAAAATTGTGCCCTTATGACACACTTTTTTTGTATATTCCTTTTTTTACTTTAAAATATTTTTTTAATTTTATGTATGAGTGTTTCTGCTTATGTGTATACAAGAGCGTCTGTGTCATGCAATGCCTACAGAGACCAGAAGAGAGTGCCAGATCCCCTGGAATTGGAGTTACAGATGGATGTCAGCCACCATGTAGGTGCTGGGAACCAAACCCGGGTCCTCTGGACAAACAGTCAGTGCTCTTTACCACTGAGCCACTTCTTTAGCTTCTCTTTTTTGCCTTCTTAACCGTAAGTTTTCGTCATTATTCCCACATATGTAATATGTTCCCCACAATGGGCACAGAAATTATATTCCATTGCTAATGAAAACAATTATGTAACCATCTCAGCCATACTATGTAAATAAACATTTTTGCATTGGATCCTTGGAGGAAATTTTTCATCTTCTTTTTAAACAGATGTGCTATTTAAAGATATTATTTTATGAAAAGCATTTGATTTTAAAGTAGTTAACTATCCTAGTGATTTAAAACAATCTTACATTACATGGCTTTGATTTAAAATTTATGTTATACTTTTAGGCCATTTCCTTTTTTCATTTTTTTAATTGAAATTTTGAGAACTTTATACAATATCTTTTGACCATATTTAGACCCCCACCATCTTCACCCCCATTTAATACTCCTCACATAATTTCATGTGCTCTGTTATATATATTAAGGTACATTGAGTCAAATTTGTGTCTCTAAATGCCCTTCAGTGTGGGTCCATCCACTGGAGCTACAACTTGTCATGTGCGATCAGGTCTAGGACTTTCAACTTTTGATGTCATGCCAGGGCTCAGAATATTTTAAAGTTTGGGAGCTAGAGAGATGGCTCAGCAGTTAAGAGCGTGGCCAGGAGAGGTAGAAACAGGTGGATCTCTCTGAGTTTGAGCCTGGTCTACATAAATTTCAGTCCAGCCGGGGATAGATAGTGAGACCCTGTCTAAAAAAACAATGGTCACTGGTTCGAATCCCCGGCAACTGGTGCTCAGTGTGGTGCTCGAAGGAAGGTGAAAGAAAGAAAGAAAGAAAGAAAGAAAGAAAGAAAGAAGAAAGAAAGAAAAGAAGAATAATGAAAGAGTGAAGAGTGTGTACTGCTCTTGCAGAGGACTAGAGTTTATTCCCAGCACTCATACTGGTTGGTACACAACCAACCCTAGCCCCAGGGATCTGATGTCCTCCTCTAGCCTCCGTAGGCATTGTACTCACATACACAACCATGCCACACACCCATAATTAAAAATAAAATTTTTTTTAAAACTTCCGAGCTTGGAAGATTTTGAAATTTTAGATTAGATAACCTATAGAGTTGTGTAGTGTTTTATTAACAGTGTCAACTCCTGTTTAACACCAGTTGTCCAATGATAGGCACTCCTGTCTTATTTAAGAAAATTTAAATATTTAATTTCAAAATTAAAGCAATTATGTACTATAAAAACACATTTTAATGAAACTTTAATTTTCCACATTTACTCACTTCCCTACAATGAATTTATATCAAGGCAGTTGAAAGCTAGAAGAATCACGTTCACTTTAAATTTTTTGTCGTGCTAAACTATCAATTTTACCAACTAATTATATAAAACGATGATTAGATGTTTCCTTATGTCATCAGGAAATACAGAATATATGAAT